TGGGCCTCTCACCTAAAGCATTAAGCCATTGTTCTCTGAGAGTGAGGCAGAGTTCATTGAGCAGATTTGGCGTTCATCTCATGAATCTGTCCACGACTAGGCCCTGGGCAAAGGCTAACCAAGCTCCAGGGTCAGAATTTTCCAGCAGGGAGAGGTGACTTCTCCACTAGACAGCTTTGTGTCAGTCACTACATTGACCAGCAGGTCACATGGCGAGGGCTCCCACATGAGGGAGCCAAGTTCAAGTTCCCTCTGGTGCTACTTACTATCCGCCAACTTGCTCTATCCCTTGTCCAAGTTCACTGGGGCCAGCGGTTGACTGGGTCCTCTATAAAAGGAGGAGGCGGATGATAATTGATTGCTTTTTCTCAGGAAACTTAAGAGTCACCTCAGTAATAGTTCCATGGTCCCAGTGAACGGGCTTTGATGTCACCTTCGATGTTGTAAGGATGGCTGATGAAAAATGCCACCGGGTGATCAAGACAGGCACAAGAAATGGGGCATTTTCCTTTTACCCCCATTCCCTGCCACCCTTGAGTCCTTTATCCCCTTTCCTCAATCCAGGTTATTCACTCTGGGCTGAAACAGCCCCGAGTGAAGAAGGATCCTTGAGTAAGCAATCAGAAAGCTGAGCGCACATTCTGAGTCTGCCCTGTTAGAGACTTCTGAGCCTTCAGGGTTTGCTCAGAGAATCGGGAACAGAGCCCACCTCGTGATGGGATGGTGACACTCAAAGGGGCACACACAGGAGAAACGATACCACCAGGCCTGGGATGTATGGGACCGAGCGACTACTGGGTCCATCCCCTCCTTCTCCTTCCCTCTCAACCTTGGGTCCCAGAGAGAGTTCCAAGGTCTCGTTCCCGCTTTCACACGTGGATTCGTGAAATGAGGGGCCCAGAAATTACTCCCCGGCAGCGTTCAGGGCAGCACAAAGGAGGGGGGTGGTGTTCTCATTACCCTCGGGCGGCGTTCTCTGCTCACCATGTCACATCACTGAGGACCGAGGGTCCCTGGAGCCGCTGGACTCAGCACATTGCTTCCTCAAGGTCCTTCTTGAGGTGTCCCACGGCCGCGCACTCAAAATCCTGCTTGCTCCTTTCTTGACTCCAGGTTTTGACCCCCACCCACTTCCTCATCACAGTCCCAGTGAGAGGCCTGGCTGGGTACCGGGAGACCAAGGAACAGCGCTGGCGGTACTACACCCTGCAGGGCACCAGGCTCCCCACCCCTGTGCGGAGCCCCGAGGACCTGCAGCAGTGGTTGCAGGTGGAGCAGTTTATGAAGAGCCTGTGGCAGTGGCATGGGGACGATGTGAACATTGAAGGTGACATTGTGCCTGCCAGGGTCCTCCAGGTGTTCCAGAAGCTGGTGGAAAATGCAGTTAGGACCTGTCACCTCCCAGGTGAGTTCATCTAGGAAAGTGTAAGGTACACTTCGGGCATTTCGCGTTTGTTCTCACAACCTCCTGCAGAACAAGCTAGGCCTTGTTACTTGAAACCGGTGCTTTAGACAAGTGATGTGCTCATTGCATTTGTATAATCCCCATCATTTGAACTGGCTATTTTCCCCTGACTGGGCCAGTGGGAAGCATGGAATTCAGACCCAGACCACACCCACAGATTTCACTAGATTTCTGGCTGTGGCACAAGCTGTGAGGTATGCACCCTTTCCAGAAGGGTTACCTTATAAACTTGAATGTGCTTATTTTAAAAAGTAAATTATTCACATGCTTTGTTGGCTAGCGCAAGGCAAGTCCCACACATTCTGACTGACTATAGTTTCCCAGCATGCTGAAATCTGATGTCCCCGAACTATTGACTTGAATCCAAACACAAAATCCAAAACTCATAAAGAAAGAAGTCTGACCACCCCCAAATGTTGAGCTACTGGGCAATGTGGCACATGTGTGTGCCTGCCCACGTGCATGTGTCTGTGTGCACATGTACACATATCCCATCCAGGCATGCGCACACACATCCTTCTCAATCAAGAAAAAGGAAGAGTTGCACACTGGGAAAAGAAACAGCAAAACCAACCAACCAACCCAACCCAACCCAACCCAACC